AATAGCTTTTCAATTTCTTTGATTTACACCTCAATAGAATAAAAAGGTGAAAAAGAATAAAAGGTGAAAGTTTCTTTTTCACTTTCATTGTCTCTCCCTTATTCCTCATTCTTGTATTACAAGTAATCTCATTTGCCCCACATGACTGTATTTTTTAAAAACTTACTTAAGGAAGTAGTAATAAAAGAATGATTAAAATATGGACTGCATACAATTCTGCCTGCTCAGTAGACTATCATGCTCAGTGGGTAGGGCCCATGTCTTTCTTTTCACCTAGATACAATCAGCACTTAATATTACACCAGGCACAGACCTCAGTACTGTTTCCTGAAGCAGGATATAAAATATGATTAAGACTCAATTTGAAACCAGAAGCAAACAGTTAAGCTGCTTAAAACTGGTCAAGTTAGCTGAGGCTAAGGCAAGAATTTACAACTTGATCAAGGAGAGTGGAGCATCTTAACATGAAATCAACATTTAGGAACCATATTTTATGGAATAAGGGAAACTAGAGAACACAGAAGAAAAGTGTTTTAAAGGCAAGGAAACAAATGATTAATCTAGAATATGGAAAAATAGTTACAAAAAGAAAAGAACTAATAAATGACATGAGAAAAGTTTTGACAGTGATATGTATTCTAAGTAAAAAGAATTGATGAGCACCAGATTTATTTACCCTGATAAAGCAGGTAAAGCAATCTGGGCAGATTATTTGAAAGGAGAATTCAGAAGGAACAAACTGGAGAATACAGAAGTAAGGGTCATGAGAATGTGGAGTAAAGTTACTTATAACAAAAATGAATCTATAATATATTTAATGAACATATTTTATAAGCCAGTTTCACAAACATTATTTAAAATTTAACAACTCACATATGATCTTTTACTCCCATTTTATATATAGGAAAATTAAGATTTGGTGACATTAAATAATTTACTCAAGATTATACAGGTAAGTCCTGCAAGAGCTCTGGATATGAATTTGACAGATCAAGATATAATAAGCCCATGAACTTCAATGCCCTACACATTCTAATTGATTTCAATAAATGATCAAACATACAATAATTTTTTGTTCTCTCTCTCTAACCATTACCCAGTAATTCTATGAATTTGGAAAAAGTCCTGTCTCAGATATGTCAGAAAGAAATAATAACTTATAAAAGACAACTCCTTCTAAGGGTGGAATATATATATATATACATTCATTTGTTAGTGTAAGAGAGGCAGAAAACCATTGTGAAAATTAAATTGTCACTATTTTCATGAAATAATTAACAGTGTAGGGGGATAGCCAAAGACTAATAACATTTAACAATTATTGTAATCATCATTATCATCTTATCTAATACTGGGTATTATAACTATAGCTATATAAGAGCACTACATGTTTTATGTTTATCATTACAAAACCTACATGAGATAGAAATTATAATAATGCCCATTTTACATACGAAAAAACTGAGACTTAGAGAACATTTAAGTAACAAGACCAATGTCACCCAGCTAGTAGTCAAAACTTTTTACTGAAGCCATCAGATGCTAGAGCCTGCACTCTTAACTAGTACACCATTACTAAAGCATAATAGATATTATATATATATAGTTTAAGAAAGAATGAAAATTAAACACAATGTTAAATAATTAACAGGTAACAAATACGTACACTTACTAAGATATGAAAGTGCATGTATGACTCAAGTGGTTTGTTGAATAATAGAAACATTCTGAACTCTTTCTAGTAATTACCTTTCCAAAGGAAAAAATTAAAGGCAATCTAATTAAATTACTTCACAGGAAACATTATTGTGATACACAGAAAATAGAACTTGGAATTCTAATCAAAGCTGCATTCATTTTTAGGTAATTAAAGGAGAGAAAATTTCATCGAATTTTCCTCAAAACATACCATTAGGGTTTTGCACCAATCCTCCGTCCAGGTGCGGACTCGGCTCCACCCAGCATTAAGGACACAGAGCCTCTCTTCTAAAAGAGGCTCACTGCCCTCGATCAGGTTCTGGAGGGCAGCACTACTCTCTGTGATGATATTTAAATCAGCTTTTCTCTTTTCCAGATCCTTCAGAATATTCTAGAAAACAAAAATAACAAGATCCACCTGACCTTTCAGAACATCGTCAAAGTCTATACAACCTTATTTTTTTTACATGTATTCTTCCACAGACACATAGTGGTCTGTGGTAACTAACATAAAATATACCAAAGGTTTACAAAACTGACTTCCATAACTTAGTACTATAGTTAGAATTCTGAAGTTCATAATACAAATTAAAACATTTAATTATGTAAATATAAAAAAATATAACAAATTCAGGTAACCATTCATTTATTTTAAGTATAAATTCCACTTATTACACACACACACCAAGTATCTTCATCATAAGTCTACCTGTGAAGAATAAATTTCATTTTCAGTAACTACAAGGTGGTAATGCAGAACTATGTCAGTTCTCAAAAGTTATAATGAATTTCTGTTCTAGACTACTACAGGAAACTAATGATGTGTACTCTATTTACTTGCAAAGATAACATCCTATAACTAGGAGAATTAAAATATAATCTGTTGTATAAACATTACAAAAAATATTTCATCTTAACTAAATCATTGGAGAACCAGCACATTTAAGCTTTGGTCTTCCAATTTTTGCAATATGCAAAGATAATACTCTGGATGGTATGATGATAACTTGAGCACACATTCATTAGTTAGACTAGGCAAGGTGTGTAGTCAGAGTTATCAGAGAATGTTGGTTTTCAAAATTAAAACTACAGTGTTCTTTCAATCAAAAAGTAAATATGTGCATATCTACCCTATTGCTGTTGACTTTTTTAAAGCAACATTTGAACAAATCATTTCAAGGAGCTCAAGTTTATATTTATCTGACATTATTAAATCATATTTTGGAAGGCATAAACATTGCTAATTTACCAGTGAGTCAAGATATAAACACTCACTTGGCCATGTCAATTACTGGTATATTTATAAAAAGCACTAAAATATTTCTCTCAAGTATTCTTCTCCAAAAGGGAAAAAATAAAATACAATTATCCACATTTATGCTCTCTTGAGTTAAGATTTTCTGCATTCCTTTTGTGGTTATGTAGTGATTGACTAGAATATTCTTTGAGAACTAATTAACTGCTAGTAAATTTAAACAATATATATACCATCTATGCTAGGAGATTTCATTGTAAAGAAAGTGACTACATTAGAAATAATGATATCTAAATGAAGGAGTAAGAGTACTATTTAAGTTCAAGAATGAAAATGCTAAAGTTTTGCACTGAAAATCATTTACTGTAATTTTTAAGTACAAATACATTAAAATGTGAAATATGAAAACACAATGTTGGAGTAATGGGTGATTATGTTACACACTGATGTTTCATTTGATTTACTCTAGTGAAGAGAATGTGCTGTGAATAAATGATGTGTATATACCATCTTCATTATTTCAAATCTGAAATAAGATTAAATGGAAACTTAAGACAGTTCCAGAACTTATCATTATTTACAGCCTGTACCTTAAAAAAGGATGAGAATCAACTGACAAACTGAGGTTATGTGAGTACATAAAAATGGAACATTAAAAATTAAATATGCAAAAACCGATGCAACGTTTATGTCAGCTATAAGCAATCAGTAAAAAAAAAGAAAAAGTATACCTTTTGCATACCAACAAAAATAAAATAAATATGTAAGATAAACTTCTTTTCATATATACATAATGTTTTTTAAGAAAAAAAGCATTATGGGAGTGATGGAAAGGAACATCAGGCAAACCATGAAACAATCCATGTTACTAAAAAAGACTTATTATATATATTATTAATAGTGTATATTTAATTGTATATAAATGCATAAATACATATTTATTTAATAAGTATATATCATTACATATAATTACATACTAGAAAGACTTACTATAACAAAGTTATAACTTATCATAACACAATACAGAAAGACCTATTAAATGTTAATTCCCCTCAAGACAAATCTATAAATTCAAGGCAATTCAAATCAAAACTTCTAACAGAATTTTTAAAATAATTTGAGAATATTAATTCTAAAGTTCATATGACTGTATACAAAAAGGAAGCATAAAGACAAGGAATCCACTAACTCCATGTTAAAATATATTATACAGCCACATAGGTAAACAATTGAAGAACATTTCAGAAGGTCACATCAGTGAAGCAGAAAACAAAGAAAAGCAAGAGGCAAAAGGAATATACGAACTTACCACATCCAATCAGTGGAGAAAGCATAATTATCCAATAAATAATGCTGAGACAACTAGTTAACCATTTGGAAAAAAGGTTAGAACCTTACCTGATGACATAAACCGGAAGGATTAAAGCATTAAAGGTAAAAAGATACAACTATGAAAGAGCTAGAAGAAAATATAAGTAAGTAATCATATAACCTTGAAGTAGAGTTGGTCTTTCTAAGCACTAAAGGCAGAAATAATGAAGAAAAAGATGAATTTTATTTTAAAAAATATATATAATAACTGTGTTACCAAAAGAACATATAAAACAGAAAGGAAACTACAGTAGCCAAAAAGAATTTTTTTTAATTGCAACAATACACAACACACTAAGCATTAATAATTGTAACAAAGAGCTCTAAATTAAAAGACAAAACTGGTGATAGAAAATGGTCAGAATTACAAGAAAAGGCAATTTTTAAAAAAGAGTTAAAAATGGACTATAAACTTATGGACATTCTTCTACTTAAATAATCAAAACATGTATTTGCCTACCATTGTCAAAGGTGTGATTAAAACAAGCAAGTAGGAATTCTCACACGCCACTGGAAGGTACAATATTTCTGAAGGACAATTTCATAACATGTATAAAACTTTAAAATGCATATATTCCTTGACCCAATATATTTAGGGCTAAGAATTTATCCTCACGAAAAAATTATAAATACATACATGATTTAGCTACAAATACATTCATCATAGCACTTTTTAAAAAATATGGAACGCTTCACAAATTTGCATGTCATCCTTTTACAGGGGCCTTGCTAATCTTCTTTGTACTGTTTCAAATTTAGTATATTTGCTGCCAAAGTGAGCACCATCATAGCATTTTTTTTACAATAGTGAAAACTGGTATTCATTTAAATGGACATGAATAGAGGAATGGGAAAATTTTTTAAATGCAGTGAAATACTATGTCTCTCTAACATGGGATACAAAACACTTGCAAGTAAAAGGAAAATGTTAAAGATACAAGTTTTTAAAACAAGGACATGAAACACTAGATACAATATAATTCTTTTTAAATATATGCTTGTACCTATTCATGTCAATATATACCTGTCAAAAACTGAAACAAGAACAAGGTATTCTTTGAAGATAGATGACTTTCGCTTCTTTTTTGTATTTCACTCTGCAAATATCATCCAATTAGCTTATATGACTTAATATTACTAATAAGAAAATAATGGCTTTCAAATCATATTGTACAAAAGAGTATTTCCTTGACAAACTTAAGTTTAATAAAAAATCAAGTTTGGTGCCTTCACTTTGCATTCATCCACAACACACCCATGAAATCCAATGTTCTTCATTTCCATCACACAGCCCTTTGTCCTCCTCTTTTTCACTTCACACAACCCATGGCGTAATTATACTTTTCATGAGCTATTTTATAAACTGAGAACATTTTTTCTACAGCTTAACTTTCTTTCAATTGTTATCTCCACAGAGCATTCAAATTAAGAAGGAATGGTATCACCCCTGACCCCCTCATAGCATGTCCTCTTCACTACCCTTAAACCACATTTATAAAGGATGTCAAAACTGATCCTGTCAGTATTGATCATTTATTTCCAGCACCCATCTCTAGTACACATGCTTCTTTATTAGGAAATACCCTGAGGAAAATAAAATGCCCTGGGTAAAAAATGACTTTATGTTCCATTTTAATCCTTTATCTACCTCAGAATAGAGAACTGGCAAATCAACTCTCCAATCTCTGTGATTTTAAGCAACTATAGGACTACAGAAAACTCTTGGTTCTTTAAATTGATTTTTTTAAAATTCTGTTTCTATGCTCTTTATATCAGTTAGTTTGCAATAGAAAGATCAGTCACTGGTATGAAAGTTATTATGGAAAAATTAATAAACAGATCCAGTACAATAGTTTGTGAAGAATGGATACTCCAAAAAGAATGTCACTGATTTTGAAGGTGATAATTATGTTTTCAAGTACCACACTTAAGCATAATGCCTACGAAGGCCTTACTGATAATCCATCTGAGTTTAATGCTTTTGGAATCAAGATAAAAATGTCTTTTAAAATGATTGTTTTTAAAATATTCTTATTCTTATTTCTTAGGACAGAGAAGTGGAAAAAATCATGGAAAAAAGACAAGGCTGTGTTTATTATGAAACAGAGAGAAATGACGCCTCCTCAGACTGCACTGAACAAAATGCCACAGGTCACACTGATATAACACAACTTACTTTAGCCCAGGAAATTTCTGTATCCAAGTCGCCAAGCAAACCTTCTGAAGTAGATTTCTGTACCAACTCAGTTTCAGTGACAGAAAGCCATTCAGAGAGGGAAGCAGCCTCTTTCTTCATTTTCCGGGCCAACTGTGAAGCTCTTTCCAGATCCTGTTTCCCCTCTGTCACCTAAAAAGGAGGATAAGAGAAAAATCAGGAGAAATGAATATGATGGCAATGAATCAGAATATTAACTACAGATCCAAACTCATTCATATTTAAACCCCAACACATTCACAACTTTTATCTCGCACACCCTAGAATCACTCCCTTCTCGTGTTTCTGGAAAGGGACCATATACTGTGGTGGTTAAGGGTCAGACAACCCTGGGTTTTCATCTTACCTTTACTACTTACTTCCCAAGGGACCTTGGTAGAGGTACAGCCTCAAAAGGTTGTGATGAAAATCAAATGAGAAAAAATACATACAGAAAGAGGCTGGTCTAGTCTTTGTAACAAAGTTAAGGAATCAGACAATAATATCTTTTATCATTTTCAACAGAAGATGTCTTAGTATCCTCATACACTGTATATTCCAGCAATTTGAGGGGGGAAATAGAGCGATTTTCACAATTATCACTTACAATTAAGCACTTAAACACAGTAAAGGACTACGCAACATAAACCTTTATTATTATTTTGTTCTTGTTGACATGAAGAAAAATGAACAGAATAATTAGGCTCTTCATACAGTTCCTGTAATTTGCTAAGCTATCTTACACATGTTGTACAATAAAGCCAGCAACAGCCTCTGGGATAGGCCCCATCCCTTCTCCTTTACAAGTCGAGACAGGAAACTTGAAGAAGGCAAGGCCATGACCAGGGGTAAATGGCTGTTGCACTGACCCTGCTCTGACCCTTTACATTACACAATGGTACTCACAGACTCATCATTCATGATCTAAAGCTGAGATAACATTTTAAAGGACATCACAACACCATACAAAAATAAAATTGTGTTTTCATTTTATATGCACATATACGTAGACAACTACATATTTAAGTAGTAGAGTGATAAGTCATGGACGAGATGAAATTGTTCCTCTATGATATAAAACAATATAAAGACTGAACTCTCTTAATAAGGAACATGGGATTACATTTTTTTTTTTTAGTCCCCAGGTTCAATTTTACTCTTTCATTCCTCAAGGATTATTATTAAATTCCTTCTCAAAAGTGAAATATTTTTTTCTGCAGAGTTTAAGATTCATGACTCCAAATTAACAGCAGCACAATGCAGACTTTGGAGACAAATCTGTGAATTACATGAAATGCTATTTGGTATTCAAATTACACTTATCTAAGTTTGACATTCCCAAGCAGCTGTATCATCATAAAACCTAATGCTACCCAAGACTTGTATATACCAGCTAGAAAATAATGTACTTCAACTTATAACAATTTATACTTTTGTCAGTCTAATCAATACATTTTAAGATACATGGCATATTGAATTAGGCAGTATCAAGCTGTAAATCTTTATCCTAAACATTTATCACTTCTCCCTCTTGGATATTCAACCATTCCTTCTCATTAGGTATGAAACAAAATTCAGTCTCTCAAATTAAAAAAAAAAAACCTTCTTTGCCCCCACCTTCCCTAAAGACCTTCCTCCCTCCTACCTTTCCCATATAAATCTTCAAAACCATATTTTTTATCTCCAAGCCATGCCATTATGACTTCTACCCCCATCATTCCACAGAAATTGTCTCTGCTAAATGCAATAATGACCTCAAGGGCAAGAGATCTAATGGACATTTTTAAGTGAACATCTAGTACTTAACTTTCAAATAATATTCAAAACAGGTACCCACACACACCACCATCCTCAAAATGTTATCTTTCCCTGGCTTCCCAGACCTAGGACTCTCCTGGTATGCTACCACTTCTTACCACTTACTATAGTTTTATATATATATATATACATATATATATATATATATGTGTGTGTGTGTGTGTATGTCATACAATGTGATTTTTTTAAGGTATACAATGTGAAATATATATATAGTGAAATGATTGCCACAATCAAGTTTATTGGCATATTCATCATCTTACAAAGTTACCTCTCTTTCATGGTCAGAACACTTAAGATCTATTCTCTTAGCAGATTTAAATTATACAGTTACGGAAAGCAGTATGGAGGTTCCTCAAAATATTAAAAACAGAACTACCATACGATCAGCAGTCCCTCTTCTGGGTACACACCCAAAGGAAATGGAATTGGTATCAGCCCTCCCAGACTGCTTGCAGCATTATTCCCAACAGCCAAGTCATGGAAACAACCTGTGCCCCCTGATGGATGAAGAGATAAAGAAAATATGGCTCAAAATGGCCATCTTTCCTAAAGCAATCTATAGATTCAATGCAATCCCTATCAAAATAGCAATGGCATTTTTCAATGAACTAGAACAAATAGTTCTAAAATTCATATGGAACCACAAAAGACCCTGAATAGCCAAAGTAGTTCTGAGAAGAAGAGCAAAGCTGGGGGTATTATGTTCCCCGACTTCAAGTTCTACTTCAAAGTCACAGTAATCAAAACAATTTGATACTGGCACAAGAACAAACCCATAGATCAATGAACAGAATAGAGAGCCCAGATATAAACCCACACATATATGGTCAATTAATATACTATAAAGGAGTCATGGATATACAATGGGGAAATGACAACCTCTTCAACAACTAGTGTTGGCAAAACTGGACAGCTACATGTAAGAGAATGAAACTGGATGATTGTCTAACCCCATACACAAAAGTAAACTCAAAATGGATCAAAGACCTGAATGTAACCCATGAAACCATAAAACTGCTAGAACAAAGCATAGGCAAAAATCTCTTGAATATAAACATGAGCAAGTTTTTCCTGAACACATCTCCTCAGGCAAAGGAAACAAAGTTGAAGTTAACAAGTGGGACTATATGAAACTAAAAAGTTTCTGTACAGCAAAGGACACCATCAGCAGAACAGAAAGGCATCTTATGGCATAGGAGAATATATTTGTAAATGACTTATCTGATAAGGGGTTAACATCCAAAATATATTAAAATATATATATATATGCCTCAACACCCATAAAACAAATAACCCAATTAAAAATTGGGCAAAGGATATGAACAGACACTTCTCCAAAGAAGAAATACAGATGGCCAACAGGCACATGAAAAGATGCTCCACATCATTAATTATAAGGGAAATGCAAATTAAAACCACATTGAGGTATCCCCTCACACCAGTTAGGATGGCCACTTTCCAAAAGACCAACAATAACAAACACTGGTGAGGATATGGAGAAAGGGGGACCCTCCTACACTGTTGTTGGAAATGTAATTAGTTCAACCACTGTGAAAAGCAGTATGGAGTGTCCTCAAAAAACTAAAAATAGAAATACCATTTGACCCACAAATTCCACTCCTAGGAATTTACCTGAAGAAAACAAGATCCCTGATTCTAAAAGACACATGCACCAATATGTTTATTGCTGCACTATTTGTAATAGCCTAGATACGGAAGCAACTAGAATGTCCATCAATAGATGAATGGATAAAGAAGAGGTAGTACA